TCAGTAGAGGACAACTGGAGATGCTGAAGAATCCATCCAAGGCACTACTCGACAAAGGGAATGATCCCCTTCACAAGGCGACAAGGCAGCTTGAGGACGAAACCAGTCACCTCGCACCACATCAGCAGCATGCCCCCACGTGGGCGCACGTGGTCCTGTCCCCTTAGCCTAGTATAAATACTCATGTAAACCTCAGAAAGAGGGATCCGAATTCATTCTCTCTAAATTCCCTTGTAAAAGCACCTATGCATTCTCCGTTATAATATAAATTGGGCTACAGGTGTTCCACCTAAAGTCCTACCGGTCAATCTGCGTGTTTTTACCTTTCTTACTTTGCCAAATCAAGCAAACTATTCTAGACCCAGTCTAGTATAGTTTTACCGGTCAAATAATTTACACCATCACATGGTTTATCCCACACACAAGAATTGCGAGAATGATTCATCTAGCCCTAGTAAATTCTCCAAAGTACCAATTGCCTAAATTATCATCCTTATTTAAATGTTCAGGGGTAAACCGTGCAATTTCTAGAAAATTCAGAGGTATTTGGTGCACTTTTAAATATTCGAGGACAAACTGTTTAATTTCTGAAAAATTCAGAAGTAAACTGTGCAATTTCCGAAGAATTCGAGGGTTAACGATGCACTTTTCTCAAAAAAAGAGGCAATATAATGCCAAAGTAAAAAATAACAAGACTCATGAACTGATCAGGTCGACCTTGGTAACCCGGTTTGCTGGATTCGATGGTTCCAAACGATTATTGCAAAACTCGATATGTTCATCGAATCATATTAACTTCCCTGATAAATTAACAATATGTGGTCCATGATTTTTCTCTTTTCAAAAACAAATGTCAACTACTCATTTTTTATTTTTTTAACATTTTTTAAAATTATGTAAAGTCAAATTGAGACAATAAGAGGGTGTTTGGGAGTGATTAACTTATGAATAAAATAATTTTCACAAAAGTTAAAAGCAAAAGCACATCAAACCTGCTTCTCCGAAACGGTGTTCTATATACAAAATTGTGGTGGTGAAAAGCAGAAACCGACATGCCAAACAAAGTAAAATTACTTTTACTCAAAGCAGAAGATAAATTATTAAAAGCAGCACAATGTCAAACACCCTCTTAGTTCGAGACAGACTACAAGGGAGTAGTATATTGAATCTATGTTCAACTACCAGGTTCAAAATCCAATTACCCACTTCTAGATATCCGTTATGAATAATCAGACTTTAATCACACGAGTCTATAATCCAAATATGAAATTTCAATTAAAACAAGGCGAAAAGAACATGACCAAAGAGGTCTTTTGCATGTGAGTGAATGTACTTGCTCCACAGTCCACACTTTCTTATGTGCATATTCATTATTCACAGGATCAAATGCGGAATAATATTATGAGAGAAAGACCAAATTAGGACTAAAACATTGAAAATATATCAAAATAGGACTTCCATGTTTTTATTCCCGAAATAGGACTTACATTACCAAACATGGTCATATACATTACCAAAAAAGTATAGTAATTTGCACATGCACACTGCCACATTACCACAATGCAAAGTCTTATTCCGGGAAAAAAAACATGAATGTCCTATTTTGATAGTTTTCTCTATGTTTTAGTCCTATTTAAGATGATTTCTATAATATTATCTCTCAGTATCTATTTTCATTAATATTAAGTCACTTCTTTTTAGCACTATTTACTTGTCACAATACAATACCTGTTCAGATGTATATTTTCAAACTATTGAATAATAAAAAACAATATCACCAAAGACTTTGTGGTCCAACGGCATAATGATCACTCTCTCATACGAAAGGTCACAAGTTCGATCCCCAATGAGGGTATTAACTTTGCATGCTTAATGAGTTAAGAATCTATGCCATTGGACCATAAAGTCTTTAGCCAAATCACTTTTTATTTTACAAATTTTTTATATAGGATGATTTATAAATACTAGTATGATTTTTCTCTTCTTAAGACTCCGGAAAAAAAGTATAGAACAAACCCAATAAAATCTCACGGAGAGAAGGGTAAAGGGAGAGTGTTTGTACGCAGAACAGCCAGAACTATTGGCACAAATAACTAATAACAACACAGTTTCAGCAAGGAGAAGAAGATCCGCCCATCATCGATTCTAATGCAAGCTGCGAAAGATTCCATGTAAATAACCACCGGTCATGACAAGAGAAACCAAGGAGACAATGCCAGCAGGGAAGACCTTCTTGGACGCCATAAACCGCGGGCCCATCACGCCCAGAAGCCCGGCAGAGATGGCGAAGCCCACGGACGATGCAAGAACGGGGTTTGTTGGGAGCATGGTGAAGACGCAATAGAGAAGTGAGGCTGAAACTCCCCCAGCGATCAATGATTTCGTGCTCCCACTCTTCAAATACCCCACCGCGCCCCCAGCTCCCACCAAGAAAGCAAACCCCAGTGTCAACTTCTGTGCCATGGTTAGGCCTGGTTTCCTTTCGTTAGGCTCCTCCTTTCCATCTTCTGATCCCTCTTCTCTACCACCACCACCGTTATTGCCACCGTGGCCCCCACTAGGGCCGCCTCCGGCGCCACCAGCAGCAAAGGTGGTTGGAACCTTAAAATTGGAGGCACTGCCAGAACTGAGCCCCCACATGAACCCGTTTTTACGAGTGTAACAACGCGGGAACAATGTGGGTGACTTGGCCCGAACACGCAAAGATGAGGGCAGTTCATAGTGATCAAGAGAATAGTGGCTTTGGCACCAAGCTTGGGCCCGCGAATGAGGAAGCCGTGTAGCAGAGTGTGAAAGTGCCAAAATTTCTCCCATGGTTTGTTTGTTTGACTCGAGATTATGCGTTGTATATACCTGCACAAATACGAGAAAGAGATTTGTTTGCAAGAAGGTTAACATTTCTTGAGGTTATGTTTCTTGATTTCCCCCCCAAAAAATTAGCATCATTCATTAGGATTATGTAATATAGGTATTAAGACAACCCACAAATCACTTCTCTATCAACCATATTTCCTTGGGATTAGGAAGATAGATCATTTGCAATGGTGTATAAGAATGACAACAAGAAACATTTTTGCACACAAAATTTCCTCCAAACCCATTCTCTAAATTTCCCTCAAATCCATTCCCTTAACCCTTCATTACCCCCTTCAGTATTGCACCCATTCTCACGTCGTTAATTCTTAGTCGTTAAGTGATGAACCAAGGGACTATGTCATCAATGGCAAGAAGCCGAGGACGGGAGCTTCAGCCTAAACCTAAACTCTAATTTTATTCTCCAATACAAACCAAACACAATCAACCTCATTCATAGTTCTAAAGCGATACTTGAATTTCAATTAAAGGGACGGAATTATGTGTTTCACTCATTAAACAATTACTTATTCCCAACTTTCATAATGACAGGGTATATGTCATCCCCTTCATCTCTTATCATCGTATTGATCACTGCAAGATAGTTTGATTCACGTTTGCCAAGAAAAATACAATCCTTCTTTAACCGTTGTGAGCAAACAAATTAGCCAAAAGTTGGATAGTCTATTTGGAATTTGAACATTTCACTACACAAACTCATAACAATAGCAATTTGTAATTCGTTCCAAAGATGCAACTTCAACAAAAATAATAAAATCAATCTCCGTGAACTGAAATATTGAATGCTTCATGGATTGAAATAAATAAATCCAGCTGATAATAACAATAAAACATTCCACTCACCAAAATGAGGCAAAACACAAACGATAAAAATGAAAGATTGATATTTAGAGCAAGGCTACAGACACTAATTCTACAATCTCAAGGATTGACGGCTTAAAAAGATTGAAAGATTGATATCCAGTTAAGCCTTGGAGGTGAGATCAAAATGTGGGAAGGATTACAAACAACTTAACGAAGAGGTCTATTGATTTAAGAACAGGTTGAATTTGAAAGGATGATGCAAAACACGAGGGAGATTTGGTAGTTGATACTCCATCCGTCCCAAGATAGCTTCACTTTTCTATTAAAAAAATGTCACTAAAGCCATTTGGGAGTCCTATGGTACTCCATTGGCCCCCAAACTGGGTCCTACACCCCTACCCCTAAGCTCCCCCCACAAACCCCACCCTATCCTCCCCCTACCCGTCCCCCTTTTGACACCGAAGTTCCCCCCCACCCACAGTTCAATAGCGGAAACAGCGAGGGCACCCCTTCCCCCGTACCCCTACCCAACCGCTCAGCACCGGGCCCAATGGAGTAGTGACAAAGCTATGAAAACCCAGAATTGAAAATGTATAGTATTGGAGAAACTCAGCCCCTTTATAATAATTAAACACTGAGCAATAAATTAGTTCAATCCAAAAAAATAGGTGTTAACCCAGCTACCATTTAAGTTGAGTAGTGCAATTCCAGCCCCCTTATATGCAATTTCTGGCTCCGCCAATGCAATGAACCGCTGTATGGCCCCAAATGCCGGGTGTCATTTTATGACACCCCAGGCCAATGTCAAAAGAACGGCGCATGTAGTAAGTGGCAATACCTCAATGCATCATTTTTTGGGTGCAGACTTCAATGTGTCATTTAAATAAGCACATTATAGGCATGGAGATTAAAAACAACTTTAGACTCTAATTACAGCAGTAAACATCACATATTCATAAAAACAAACACAATTAATCAAACGACCAAGTTTATGGAATCAATTGAGCAACAAAACACCTAACAGAGTAACAAATCAAAATCCCTAAAATCAAGAAATAAGAAATTTCTCACACAAGTAGGTAGACACGCTTATAATCAAGTCCTACACAGTACAAGTATCGCATCACAGGGGAACCCCGTCCTTCCCTTCTGCTAAAATTCTTGCAGATAGCAAAAAACCAAAAATAAAAAACCTAAATCTGAACAAGGAGCTAAAGCTTTAATAGGTATCTCTAGAAAGGATCAAAAGTAGCAAAACCTTAAAATTTTGATCAGGCAACTACAGCATGTGCTGATAGTATGAAGCAATTAGGGATAGGAAAGTTATGATATTGAAAGAGGAAAGAAGACAGAGATTAGGGGGGTACCCGGCGGACAATAGGAGCTGGGCAAAGTGTTTGGTAGGAAGGAGAGAAAAGCTTGAATTCTAAAATTAGATATTACAATAAAGAGCTTTTAAAATGACATCAGTTACATCAATCAGTTGCTTACATTAATTCGTTTGGGGTACCTACGATACCTCGTTTGTAAAAATGACGGTTCCTATCTCCTAACCCTTACTCTAGTCCCACTCTTACCCCCCACTTCAGCCCCCTCCCTACCCTGGTAGTATACTGCCAGGTAGTATATGAGGGTAGGGAGGGGGGCGGGAGGGGAAGCTGAAGTTGGGGCAAGGGTGGGGCTGGGGTGGGGGGTTTAGGGAGAGGGTTAGGAAGGGTAGGAACCATTATTTTTACAAACGAAGCACCGTAGGTACTCCAAACGAGCTGGTGTAAGCAATTGACACCAGTAGCACTGATGTCATTTTAGACTTACTCTTAGAATAAATTGAAAGAAGTAGGGAAGACTTTAAAAGGAGTTAAAAGAAAAATAGAAGGAGTTGAAAAAAATAGAAGGAATTGAAAAATGTTGGAAAGGACAAAGTGCTAAAAAAAATCACACAATTAAATGATAATTTAAATAAATATGTAAGAAAACTAATTTTGGATATTAAAAAGTTTAGCTTTGTTCGTATTTGATGTATTATGTCATAATTTGGATATTTAATTTATTGTGTAGTAAACATATGTAAAAACTTTTTTAAATCGTTAGAAGAAATTGAAAAGACTTGAAAGAAATTGGAAGGAATTGAAAGAAACCAGCAAGTGTTGAAAAAATTGGACGTTAATTTTTCAAACTGAAAATAATAGAGCCTTAGTAATGAAATTATTACTCTCTCCGTTTGAATTTTAATTACTCGTTGTGAATTATGAGAGTTAACCAACTTTATTTTTAATTTAGTTTATTTGATTATAGATGTAAAATTTAAAAATAAAATTTATACATTAAAAAACTACAAGCGTGAAATGTTCTACGAAAGAAAACGTGACTTGATTTTTCATATTACAAAATCAATACTGAAAAATAAGTTAATAAAGTGGACAAAATTTGACTATAGAATAATGAATGTAAATTTATTTCAGAACGGAGGTAGTATTTTATTTCCAAAAAATTGAGATGCTCCTAAAAAATATCAATGTTCTACTCCGTAATATTCTTTTACTACTCCCTCCATTCCTTTTAAAAAATGAGAATGTGTAGTAAACATTTTTTTTTGAAATATCCAAAATTAAAAATTTCCACTGGCATATTTCTTTCTTAAAAAGCAAATACGTGAAAACGTGTAGTCAAAGAGTGAAATTAGGGCGTGTAACGCCCTAAAACATACCCTAAAATTATTAATGAATAAACTATTCAACTAATCAAATTTGTTTTGATTAAAATAAATTATTGTTAGGTTTTGGGCCGATATGAAATATGTTTTGATATACAATATCACAATCTGGATAAATCTCATAGAGATAAATCTAATATGTTGACTATTTGTGTGATTTTGATTGGAAAATGGAAACTGAGTACAGACTTAAATTAAGAGCAAATGAAGAATTTGTTTATGATATGAACTTTGAAATGATTTATTGAAATAAATCAATTATATCGTTGAGAGAACCTTTTTGAATAAAGGTCAACTAAATCAATTTTGACTCTGTAAAAGTCAAACACCCAAAAATATGGTGTCTGAAAAAATATTTCAAATAAATATAAAAATTATATCGTTGGATAAAATTCGACTGTCTTATCGCAACGGTGCAAACGGAATTCAATTCGGAGAAAGTTGGACCAAAATTAAAGGTATATCCCGACTGGGACCAAATTAGTCCCAATCAGGGAGTGACATGTAAAATCCTACAAATCGCCGCTGAATCCACGATCGTGAATCGACACTGACTCAGAATGAATGGCGGCTTCTTCTTCTCCCTGCCTATATAAGAACTCTCCTCTTCTCCCCATTTCTTCACCAATCTTCCCAAAATTAATATCATTGTGTTCTTGGTGAAGTGGAGAGTTCATTGGTGCTGTCAAATATGTGAGAGGTCGCCAGGGTTGGTAGTTATCGTCACCCGAAGTTTCACCTGAAAATTTCCAAAACCTTCGTTAAGTTTCGAGGTAAGCTTGTAGATATATCTAGTGACTAGAATGTTCGTATAGATCGTTTCTACGTTCATAAATGGTCGTTTGGTTGAGTTTTGTGTTTGACATGTTTGAAGAACCAAGAATCATAAACCATAAAATTGTTGTTAAAACTATGAATTAATGATACCAAAATGATCTATGAACCTTGGATAACATTTCTACGTGATTTAATTGAAGTTTGGTGACCAAAAATGAAGTTGGACAAAAATGGTCGAACGAAGAAGAAGATAAATAGTAAAATAAAAAAATAGCAAAGAGGATTGATCCAAGGGGGTGGATTGATCCCCTGGGAGTATTTCTTCTAGTGTGGATTGATCCAGAGTGCTGGATCGATCCCCCGAAATTTTGCTCCGAAAGTACTTTTGAAAATGCTATTTTTGAGCTCTAAAATCTTATTTTTGATACCAATTAATTATGAACAATATAAATATGATTTTACACAATGAAAATGATGTTTTTGGTAAATAAAACCTTATGTGATGCATGACGGTAAGTTAGGGTGTTAACACTCGAAACTAGGCCACTATTTGCTATTGGATGTTATGTTGATTAATGATTATGATGAATGATTATTAATGATAATTATGAATAATGAAGCTACTGATTAAAAGGATTACTTATGATTGAATCATGAGAAAAATCAATACATTGATAATTATGAAATGATTTGTATTGTTAAGAGTATCTAGAAGAACTCGAAGATATACCCATTTAGATAATTGATGTTAAAGCTATCTAGAAAACCTCTAGAATAGTTCTTAGTTTAGAATGGATTTGTGAAAATATGAATATTCGGTGACTTAGATAAAAACGTAATAACATGGTTTAAGCGTCTAAAATGAAAATTATGATTTGGCCTTAGACTAAGAATAGCTAAGAGCGTTGTTATTATTTGGCATTAGATTAAGAATAATTTAAAGAGCATTGTCGAAATAATATCTGAATTGAATAAAATATGTAGATGTGAACTGAACAATATCAAAATTGTGAATGTCTGAATTGAACATTGTGTGCATGATATCAAATAATTTGATTATGAATTTAGATTCAGTTTATATGGATGTTCGACGTATTAGATATGCTTACTCAGCCTTAACGCTGAGCATGTAGTATACTTTATTTGCTACACGCAGGTAAACAAAACGAACAATGTGATCCTGGCGGGAGATGGGACGAGATTGTCGAAATGGAAGTGACAAGTCTTGAAATGATTTATTATGGTATGACAATATTTAAATTCGCTTCCGCAATATTGTTGAATACTTCGTACTGTATATGTTATGAAAAATATTATTGTGATGAATAAAAGTTTTTGAAAAGTTTTAAATTTTTACGATTACCAAGTTAATACTTTAGTCCGAAAGGGGCTGCAGATTTAGACGGATTAGGGTGTTACAGGGCGTGTTCCGTTCGCCTGATCTTATAAGTTCTGATCTAATTTGAATATGTTCTAATCTGATCTAGTCTGATCTGATTTGATTGTAGGTATATTTGATGTTGTTTTTGGTCTGATCTAACTTGATTCTAATACGAATAAGTAATAAGAATAAGTTGAAGAGAACAAACTCTAATTGAGTCAAGCTTGGGCTCGAGGATTCGGTGGCTCTAGATGAGACAAAAAAATGGCCTTGACCTTAACAAATTAAATATACTATAAATTACGAGTATTTTCATAAGAAATCGCCCTAAAGAGGACTAAAATCTAGAAAAGCACCAAAATATGAGTTTCATGTTTTTATTCCCTAAATAGGAGTTCGTATTGTGGTAATGTAGCACTGTACATGTGCATTTTACGTACGGCCCGGTTCGCTGGCCACTGGGTTTCAGTGGCCACGGAAGCCCCTTCCCCCGTTCGGCGCTCCGTTCATAAAATTGATGATTCCTACCCCCTAACCCCTCGGTAAACCCCCCGCCAAGTCCTGACCCCAAATCATCCCCCCACCTACGTCAATTGCACCCCGTAAGTTTAATTGACTTCACAGTAAAAAAAAATTGACTCCACAGTCAACTAAACTTGCACCCCACAATTGACGTGGTTAGGGGGATGAGTTGGGATCGGGACCAACTGGGGGTTTACCGGGGGGGTTAGAGGGAGTAGGAACTATCAATTTTGCGAACGGAGCACCGTAGGTGTCCCAATTGGGTGACTGGCTTCCGTAGCCACTCTTTTTAAGTGGCTCTAAACCCTAGCCGTTTTACGTAAGGTACATGGTCATGATTGATAATGTAAATGCATTTTAACTCTTATTTCGGGAATAAAAATATGGAACTCCTATTTTGATATATTTTCAATGTTTTACTCATATTTTAGTCTTTTCCCTATTTTCTCTGTACTATCTCTATCCCTGAGTATTTGTCTAGTATTGATTTTTTTTAGTCAACACCTATAATTAAATAAAATATTTATTGTACATTAATTAGAAAAAAATAATATTTTGCAAATACTTGATATAATAAACCTATAAAACTATTTATGTATCAATATCAAATATCAGCTTTATTTAATTTGAAGTCAAAATTTATCAATTTTGACCAAAAAAAGTCAAAAGTGGACAAATACTCAGGGACGGAGAGATTAATAACAATTAATATTATAACAATACTACACATAACAAAACTATTATATTATTTGTTATGGTAATAGCTATCTTGAAAAATTAAGTTTTTAACCATTTTATTTTATATATGTATATATCAAAAAATTAAATGTTGGGCCTGGGCTGTTGTACCACTAAGGCTCCGTTCCGTTCAACTTATTTTTTCTGATTTGATCCGATTTTAATAAGTTCTGATCTGATCTGATCTGATTGGATCTGATCTGATTAGATCTAATCTGATTTGATTGGATCTGATCTGATATGATTGGATCTGATCTGATTGGTTCTGATTTGATTAAAAATTGTAATGATAATTCATATTATAATA